GGCTTGCTGCGACGTTGTGTGAACACACGAAGCAAGACCCCAGACTGATGCTGGCTAGCGCCGGGGATGGCACTGGATGGGGCGGGGCTTGCTGCGACATCGTGTGAAAAACTTTGCAAAGGAGCCGGACTGGGGCCGGATGGAGGTAGGATAGCGTCCGCCTAAAGCCCCGTGTGAAAACGTCCAGGGAGAAACATGGACTGCTGGGAATCTTTACAATTCAGGACTTAATTTGCACAAAATTTGCTTATTTCTTATGTACAGAAAATACCATTTTCTTATGTGCAGAAACAGCATTTTCTGTGCAGAAACCAGATTTTTTTTGCATATAAAACATTTGTGCATACAAATAAGTTTTCTGCACAAAAAATGTTGTAATTGGGGACTTATTCTGCACAGATTTGCACATTTTCCTGCAAGGAGTAGCATTTCATGTGGATGAAACATTTTCTTTGCAATAATTAATATTTATGCATAGAAGCATTTTTTGTGCACAAAAAGTTATTTCTTGCACAGACAAATCTGTTTTCTGGAAGACAAAGCCATTTCCCATGTGTGAATGTTGTGCAGAATAAGCCCCATACTGCAAAAAGTCCTTGAAAAATAAAACATTTTTGAGGATTATTTGCAGTCTGGAACCTCTGCTTAGGTCTCAGAGCCTTTCTCATGCTTACAAGAAAATGGTTAAAATATCTGCACTGCTTTCTTCAAGAAACAAATTAGCAAAGAATAGCATGCCTACTCCAGAGCTAGTTTTCATAAAGGCGTCAGGGGAGAGAAAACTGGAAAGCCACTCTATTGTGCTTGGGGCTGAGAGCCAGTGTGATGCTGGATGTAGAAACAACTCACATGAATGGACATCCTTCTTACCTTCACATACCAGGACATCCTTCTTACCTTCCCTTAGCAGCAAATCTCTGCTCAGCCATGGAACTCCATTGCATGACCTTGGGTAAGTTACACTCTCTCAGCCTCACAGGAAGACAAAGGCAAATCTTGTCTGAACAAATCTGGCCAAGAAATCCCCTTGATAGATTCATCTTAGGGTGGTCATAACTTGGAAATGACTTGAAGGCACACAGTTATATAGTTGTTGGTGTGACAATTGAAGTTAAATAGTACATAGAAAATGATGGCTGACTTATTGAGGCTGGGCATAAAGTTTGAAAACTTTAGTTACCACAAAATCCTGACAAGACTGATAGTCTGGTAATTGCCTCTCTTCTGTTAAAATGATGAGTTCTGTTTTCAAGAAAGTTTGTTCTGTTGAAGCCAGAAGTCCATTGCTATTCCAAGTAGAATAAAGACATTGAACCAGCTGCTGAATGATAAATTAACACTTATGCAAATCCTGCTGCAGACCCATCTGGAAATAGAGACCAGATACCATTTGTGGGTTAAATAGGGCACTTTATTTAAGCCATTTAAATCTGTGAATTTAACTTGAACTGCAAAGGTGGAAATATGTGGGATTTACTGAGGCAGGGGTTATTTATTTATTCATTCATTTATTTATTGCACTTATACTCTGCCTTTCACCCAAAATGGGATCCAAGGTGCCAGGTTTGCTCCTTGACATCCATAGCCATCCTTCTGCAAAGCATCTGAGTCCCAGAGCTCTCGAACACATTGGATTGCTGCCCAACCTTCTCTGATTTGGGGAAGACACAGACATGGAACTACCTTTTGTGATTTCCATGGTTTAAAGTGACAAGGGTTAGTCTCCTTCCAAAAAAAAAGAAAAAGAAAAGAAAAGGCAATTTCAGATCTCCTCTTCACCAAATGGTGCCCTTTAGGTATTCACTGGTTTTGCAACTCTTTCTCCCACTTTTACCTGCTGAGGAGTGACCACCTGTTTAACAACCTCACACTAAACAATTGACTCGTGTACTACAAGACACTGTATATTGTTGTTGTTAGCTGCCTTCGAGTCAACCTTGACTCATTGCAACCTTGTGAATGAGACATCTCCAAGGCCCCCTATCCTCTGCTTCTCTGCTCAGGTCCTGTAGGCTCAGGCCTATGTTCTCTCTGATTGAGTCTATCCATCTGGCAAGCTGTCTACTTCACTTTCTACTGCCCTCTACTTTCCTCAGGATCATTGTCTTTTCTAACGAGTTGTACCTTCTCATGATGTGGCCGAAGTATAACAACCTCAATGGGGGGGAGCAGACTGGTGGCTCTGCGCCGCCCCGGGAAGGTGCGCCGCAGGACCGAGGCAGCCCCACGCCTCATTCCTGCGGCACTCCCAAAAGCGTGAGGCGCACTTTCACTGACTTATCCGCCGCAGCGTGTGTGGACACTGTGGCGGGAGGTTGCCCCCGGAGCTCCAGCTGTGTGGAGGGCCGGCGGCTCTGAGGATGACCTCGGGAGGAGGAAGTGGCACCGAGCTTGCAGCTGCCCCTCCTCTTCCCTGCCTCGGAGATGGCTCAATTAGCTGTCTGCCGAGGCCCAATGTCATCTTGGGGCTGCAGGCCAGCCTAAAGGGCTGGCCTGGAGGTGGAGTTGGGGCAGGGTAGCCACACTGGCCACCCTGACTTCAGCCTGACCCCGTCCTGACAATACATGCCTGTTTGCATGGCGTGCGGTGTCAGGATGCCCTTTTGTGCATGCAGTGTGCCAAAAGAGCACAAAAAAGCCACCACTGCAGGCTTTTTTGTCACCCCCAAAGAAGCAACATTTTGCCGCTTTTTGGGGGGTGTCAAAAAGGAGGATCAGGGCCGCGGCGTTGCCATGGCCCCAATCCGCCACTACCAGGGGCGAATCTGTGCCACCCCTTTTGGGCCATCTGTATTGTCCCATGGCTTCCAGGGAAAGTCCAGGCTTGATTTTTGTTTTTTTTTTTAATGGAAATTGTAATGTTGTAAGCCGCCCCAATTGCACTGCAGAGGGGCGGGATATAAATAAAAATTATTATTATTATTATTATTTGTTCTAGGACCCAATTGATTGTCTTTTTGGTGGTCCATGGTATCTTCAGTACTCTTCTCCAGCAACACATCTCAAATGAATTAATTTTCTTCTTATCTGTTTTCTTCACTCTCCAGCTGTCACAACCATACATGGTAATGGAGAATACAATGGCCTGGATGATTCTAACATTAGTGTTCATCTGTATATCTTTACACTTTAGGATTTTGTCTAGTTCTTTCACAGCTATCCTTCCCATTCCTAATCTTCTTCTGATTTCTTGACTGCCATCTCCATTCTGATCAATGTTTGATCTCAGGTATGGGAAATGTTTAAACTATTTTGATTTCCTCATTATCTAGGTTGAATTTATGTAAATCCTCCATAGTAATTATTTTTTGTTTTCTGTATATTTAACACTAGGCCTCCCTTTGCAATTTCTTATTTAACTTTCTTTATCCTTGTTCTAAGTCTCTGATGCTTTCTGCTAGTAGTATGGTGTTGTCTGCATATCTTAGACTGTTGATGTTCCTTCCTCCTCTCTTCACTCCTCCTTCTTCCGTGTCTAAATCGGCTCTATGTATGACATTTTCTGCATACAGGCTGAATGGATAGGGTAACAGAATGACTTTGCCAATTGGGGACTAGTCTGTTTCTCTTTATTCTGTTCTTACAGTAGCCTCTTGTCCTAAGTACAGATTCCTCATCAGGTTCATCAGATACAATGGCACTCCCATTTCTTTAGAAGCATTTCATAGCTTTTCATGATCTATATAGTCAAAGGCCTTGCCATAATCTATAAAGTATAATATATAGTAGGTAAATAATATGGAAAGGGGGGAAAAGGTCCTACCCAATCTTTACAAGACCTGTAACTACCTGCATTACAATGAAAGGAGGAGGCCATGAGGGCAGCCTGGGGTTATTGGTCCATTGCTCCACACTCATGACCTTGTGGCAGGATGAAAAACACCACAGTACACATAATATAATGTATTCCTTGAACTAGTGGGATTTGAGGTCCACTCCAGGAGAACACAGTCATCAGGCAGGCATAGATTCATACAAGTTTATGGAACTTTTTACATATGTATGGACTCTGTTTCATTTTCAATGCTATTTTAAACTTTTTCTTTTTAGGATAAATCTTGCATAAATTTGGAAAATTAATAAACAAAACAGCACATTCAAGTCATAAGCTAGAAAGACTTGTGAGAGATTATACAGAAAATATTGTAACTAAAACATCCATATCCCTGAAAACCAGGCACAGAGAAAACAAGCAACAACACATTTTTAAAAGCAGTGAAATTGGTCACCAGTTGCTCTAAAATAGAATAAAGTGAAGAGAAAAGGACAGAAAAGTATAGAATCATAGAATCATAGAATCATAGAGTTGAAAGAGACCA